CTAGTTATATATTGTGGTTCAATCTTTTAATTTGGCATGACTTAGAGTGTGTTTGTTAAAGGAAAAACTCAAACCAAATTAATTATACTCAAAATCTAACTCAACTTTAATCATTAAATAATAATAACCAATCATTTGTACATATCATATCAACTTTAATTCACTATTCATCAACTCACATAATTTTAATTAATCATCACTTCGTATGATATCTCTCATACTTTTACTCAAACCAATTTTAATTATTTTATTTTAAATATTACTTTAATATAAACTCAAAATTCCACTAACAATTAACTACAACACTTTTTCTAAAATAACCCTAGTTAACTAAAAAAAGCTCACTTTGACTTAATTAACTCAAATTCTTCATTTGACATAACATACCCTTACAATCCAAGTCCATTAGTTAAAACATTTTTCCAAAAACTAAAAATAAAAAAAAAAAAACCAATATTTATGGTCATTTTGTACGTACTGTATTGGGTTGGGCCGGGCCGGGCCGGGCCGGGCCGTTGTGCTTGCACATATATCTACAGCGAGAGAGAGAATAGGTGAACTATGGTTTTCAAACAGAGGTTTGCGGCGGCTCTTTGTTTTTCTTCCGCCATGAGAATCCTCAACATCACCACCAATCTCGTGGCCAACGCCAAACACAAATTTCGATTCTTCTCCTCAAAACACTCGTCTACAATTCCTTTCGGCAGTACTCACATGGCCCAAGCGTGGTGGAATCCGCCCGATCTGAAGCCCGGCGGCGCCGACATCAGCAGCAGTAGCAGTCTCATGCTCTTGGTGGAGCATACGTGCAGCGGCGCAACCAGCGACAGCCCAGTAACCCGCAATTACTCTGTAATCTCAACCACCGAAGGCAGCTCGTTCCAAGTAGTACAAGAAAATCCACTAAACTTCTCTTTGCTCAGGGCCGAAGACAAAGATTCTTTCTTTTTGAGATCGCATTATGATATCCTAGCGATCTGCAACAAATGGATGCTGTTGGAATGTAAGAAAACTCCCCAAAACCCGTATGAGCTTCTCTGGAACCCTACGACCTACGAGGTGCGACCCCTTTCTTAAACTCCACTGCCACTTCGTGATGGAAAAAATTGGATCTCGTGGGGTTTTATTACAGTATAGGATTTGATCCATCATCTAAGGACTATAAGGTTCTCCAATTTGGCGAGGTGGAAGCTGTAGCTGTGGTGGGAAAAATCCACGCTGTGTTGTTCTCGCTCAAAACTGGTTCTTGTAAGGAAGTTCCGTATCCTCATAATTTCGACATCTATCCCTTTCAGTATTCTTGTATTCAAATAAATGGCATTAAGTATTGGATGGGTAAGTGGTGGATGGGCCGCTTTGATCTCGGAATTATGTCGTTCGACTTTGTTAATGAAAACTTTCATCCGGCCATCATCCCTCTGCCTCCGAGTGCTAGGCTCCACAAATTGTCTGCTAGAA